CTTTGGCACACAGCAGGGTCACAAAGTGGCCATCTCTCCTGACAGCTGGGCACCAAGATGCCTGAGAGTCCTCCATCAGCATCCAAAAACAATTTAGTAATTTAAGATGGCCAAAGGATGGTTAATCCTTCTTATCACGAAAGTCAACGGCCTCTGGGAAGAGGCTTTGAAATTTTTTCATGAGGAAATTGCTCAGCATAAATCCTTAATTCCCTCAGTGTGCCACCATGCATCTCACAGGCCCCCATGGTTTTCTGGGTTTTTTCTTTATTTTTAGGGAATTGTTTGTTCTACCAGGTATAGATGGGCAATATAATAAATCCAGATTTTCAAAAAAGAGTTTATAAATATTGTGATACCTGCCATGTGAATATATTCATGCTTAATAAGCTTTGCTTTCTCCTGTGATTTTTCCACACTAATCCCATGATACTGTGGTCTTGGTTTTTTCTTACTGCTTTATGTAAAAGCAAGGGATTGATACCACGGAGCAGAACTGAGCATTTTTTAATATTCCCTAAAGTCCCTCTTTGTCCACTTTCTGGTAGAACCAGGTGAAAGTCCTCAGCTTTTCTTTTCACACTCTTTTGACTCTTCACAAGAGACAGAGGCACTGCTGCAGCTCACAGCTGGGCTCACAGGCTGTTACTGGGCTCTGGGAGGTGGTTACACAGGAGGATGACCAATGCTTTGCTGTTTAGATATCCTGCTTTCTCTAATCTCTTCCATGTATTTATAAAATTTTCCATTTCACACCTTTCCATACATACAGCTTTTTTGCAACGGAGACTAAACTTTAGCCAAGAGCAAACAGAGACAGCTCATCCCCAGCTGGCAGAGGCCCAAATCCAACTGTAATAAGTTTTGAATGCTGCCAGCAGAAAATCAGGGTCAGAGCTGCCCTGTTGCTCTGCCAGGGAATGGCCAGGTAAAGGTTTGGCTTTAGAAGCCGTGTGTCCTTCCTCTTTCAGTGCAGTGACAAGGGGTTTTAGCTACTATTTCACTTTTGTATCTACCAAAGATCAGGGAGACAGAAGCCCAGTCTCACAGCCTGCCCTGGGGAGCAGGACAGGGAGAAGCCAAAGGTTTTCCTGCTTGTGCCAAGAGCAGCACCACATTTATTGTTTTGGGATAAATCACTACTCAATCCCTATTCCTATAGAACAAATAGATGGTGTTGCAGCTTTCCAACCCCACCATGGCAGCACCACATTTATTGTTTTGGGATAAATCACTACGCAATCCCTATTCCTATTGAACAAATAGATGGTGTTGCAGCTTTCCAACAGCCCAGGCCCAGCCCTCCCAATTGCTGCTGCTTGGAGAGTGGCCGGTGCTGGGAATGGGCTGAGGGATTTCCCAGGCACTGCTCCTGAAGGGTGGCCTTGTGATCAGCTCCTTCAGGAGCAGCTGTGCCTCATTTATCTAAGAAACACCCCAAAACAAAGTCTATACAATGCTTTAGGATTTCTCTGGGAGTGTTTGCAAGGTGTGACTCTTTATGAGCTGTAAAAAGTAAATATTTAGATAGCATTTAGCAGATCAGATGGATCTATCTGGGGCTAAGTCCTCATAAGGGAAAGAACTGTGAGAAGAGAATAAATATGAGAAATACAAAGAGTTGGAAGAATGTACAGAAAAATCTTTTATTCAGCAAAATGTTTAAAAACAGGAGGAGCAAACAGTTTGGGAGTAGGGCTGTTGCTTGGCTTCTACAATAATACTTTTGGCTGAAGTTTAAAATCTCAAAACTCTCTGTTAATCTTTATTTGGCAAGTGACTGTTTTAAAGCAGTGTTTTCAGTGCATAGAATGGGCTGCCATTGGATTCGGTGCTTGTTGGGGTAAGGGACATCCATTCCAGGAAATACAAAGAATCTTCTCATCTGTACTGCAGACCTGATCAAATGTAGCATTTAAAAAAATAATTTTAAATAAAAGAAATGGCATTTGTAATGGTTATAGAGAACAGTCAATGTCTGTTAGAAGATACATTTGTCCTTGTTGCCTCCCTCATGGCTTGGAGTGTGAGCAGACACTGCTGGTCTCTGCCACCCTCCAGAGACAAAACAGGCAGCACACGTGTACTGGGCTGTTAACAGCTCCACCGTGCATCACCTGGAATTTCAGTGCTAAACTGATCAGTTGCAGCTGCCCAGAATCACAGCAAAAGGCTTTAAATACAAATGGCACTGCAGGTGTGGGACACAGAAATGGGAGTTTCACCCTGAGGGAAAACCTCAACAGCTCATGGGACCAATCATTAGTGATGGCTAAAGATATTTAGGCTCCATAGCTAAGCCAAACCTGCAGACCATTTCCCCCTCGTTGTTGCAAAGCTCCTTAGTAAAACCTAACCTGATTCTTGGGCTCTCTTGTTCAATTTTAGCATTCAAGGCAGGCACCAAGACTGGATATACTCAGACTACACTGTCTGGGTTTTAAGTACTGGGAAAGGAGTGAAAGTTGAGGCAGCCTTAGCTGGCAGTGGTGTTTGCTCTACAGTAACACAGGGATCAGCTCCAGCTCTGCGTGGGGAGGAAGAGAAATCTCTGCCCTGCATCTGACCCTTGAGCCCGAGGGACTCAGTTCAGGGTCCAAGCTGGGAATGCTGGGCTGGTGCAGACACAGCTGGAGGCAGCCACAGCCCCAACTCACTGAACAGATGCAAAGTGACATTTTCATACTTACTCCTATTTCCCCACCATTCCACTGTGCCATCCCCGCTGAGAGTTAATCCTTTGCAGAAGGTGAAAGAAAGCATCAACTCTATGGCACCCACTGAGGTTTAACATTCATGTCAGGATGCAAAACTCAGCCCTCACCTTTTATGAGTGCTTTACTCACTGCTTGTTTCCACATTGCCACGGGCAAACTTTCATATTCAAATGGATTTGCCCAGTTATTTTGTTCCCACACAGTGCAGGTACAGATCTCGTTCATCCAAGCTTAACAAGTACCAAAGTATCAGCCCCTCACAATTTGCCTTGCAAACCAGCTCATGTCCCCTCTAGCCCTCCCCTGCACCTTCCATCATGTTTGTACTGCTCCCGGAGCAGCCCAGGCCGCAGTCTGAGCTGCTCCTGTGCCCTTGGCTTGTCCGAGGGGATGTGGGATGTTCTGTCTGCCCCCTGCTTCCCCCACAGCCGCTGCTCCCAGGTACCACTGCCCTCCCCCGGTGCTCAGCGTTCCTGGCGTTTGGAAACAGCTTCCACGATAATCCCCCATGGGACAAAGCAGCTCTTGGGAGCTCCTTTGAGAACGCTGTGTGTGTGCTGTGATCCTTTCTGTTCCTGTTTCCTAAGCTTTTACCCATTCCTCCCTGAGCAGCAGGTGTGGGGCTCACAGCCATCAGCCCGGGCGTTGGTTGGACACCGCTCTGCTCGTGTGCAGCCGTGATGCTCTCACACTGCAGAGCTTCCTCCGCTGCAGCAACTGGCAAGGCCCCGCACATCCCAGCGCGATTCCTCACTGGGTTCTTCCCATTCTGGTTTCCTGTTCTTGAGCACTGCCAAACTTTTCACTGTTTGCCATGTGGCTTGGGATCCCTTTCCAGCTGGTGTAATCAGACACGGCTCCCTCCAGCATACCCTGGCTTTGGTGTAATCGCTGTTGGCCGAACGCTGTAGGACTGTGCCAAAAACACAACAGCAGCCAAAGTTCCTTCCCTGTCTTGTTTTCTTTTTCCCTGTCTGTGGATATATCAAGGTACACCAGGATGGTGTACTGGATCAGCTCTCTTTCAACAGCTCTGATGGCTGCATCCACGTAAGATCACTGTATCTACAGTGCAAATTTATGCAGCCGTCTCAGGAGCTGCAGAAAACCTAAGAAAAGACTTTCCAGAGAAGTCCAGCACTGTTCCGTGCCTCCGCACTGCATCTACCTGTGTGACACAGATCACTGGAGGTCAGCAAGTATCCCATGGATGAAGCAGAATTTCAATATATTTTTTATTTAATTGTATATTTAATTTTCACCTTCTGGCAAGGAAGGCCGGTGCTCCAGATCTGGCAGAGCTTTTGCCATTCCAGTGGCATCCCTGCCCGATAAAGTTTGCCACGGAGGAGACATGAGAGGACTGTCCCATCCGTTGAGCGTCCCTGCGCCGTGCCGGGTTCCCCGGCTCGGCCGTGTCCCCGAGCAGCCGTGAGACACGGGCCGCCACAGGGGATGTCGCACGCACGGCAGCGGTGACTGATCTGTCACTCCGCGGGTTCTCTGGCAAAGTTACCGGGCAGGTTCCTTCCGCAGCGGGGGCTGCCGAGAGAGGCGGGAAACCGGGCACTCCCCGCGGGGTGCTCGCTCCGGGGCGAGCGGCGGGGCGCTCGGCGGCACCGCCAGCCGGCTCGCCGTGCCCTCGCGACACAGCCCTGTCGCGACACGCGCCGGGCCCCTCCGCTACCGGAGCCGCTTCCCGCGAGCCGCGCTCGGGCGGGGGCAGCGCCGGGGCCAAGGGCCGCCAGCCCCGCGGGGCGGCCCCGGTAAACCGGCCCCGGTAAACAGACCCCGGTCGCCCCGGGCCGGGGGAGCCGCTCCCCGCGGGGGGCAGCGCCCGCCCCGCCTCGCTCCGAGCCCGGCGGCGGGCGGGCGGCCCCGCCGAGCGCAGGTGGGGCGGCGCGGGCCCCGCCCGGTCCCCGGGGAGCGCGGAGCGGCCCCGCCGCGTCCCCCGGGCCGCGCTGGGCCGCCGCGGGCACGGCCGGGCCGCGGGACGGCGCCGCCGGCGTGCGCGCGCCCGCCGCGCCTGGCGTTGCCCTTTTAAGAGCGGCGCGAGGCGGCCGTGACGTCGCGCGCGCAGAGCGCTAGCCCGGCGCGCCCGCCCGCCCGCACAGCCGGGAGCGGCGGCGGCACCGCGGAGCGCCCGGACCCGCCCCGCCACCGGCACCGGCCGCGCCGAGCCCCGCACGGCCCGCACCGCACCGCACCGCCCCGCCGGCACCGCCGCCCTGCCATGCGCCGCGGCCCGGCGCCAGCCTCCGCCGGCGGGAGCCGTCCCGGCAGCAGCAGCAGCAGCAGCAGCAGCGCGGCGGCGGAGGAGCGCTGAGCCGCGGCCCCGCAGGGCGCGGATGTTCGCGGGCTGCCCGCGCCGGGAGCTCTCGCTGCGCTGACGGGGCGGGCCCGGCGCCCCGCTCGCCGCAGCGCCCCGCGCCCGCCCCCGGGCTCCCCGCAGCGCCGCCGCTCCCGGCCGCGCTTCCGCCCGCGCCATGGCGGGGAAGGCGGCCGCGGCCGGCGCCGGGGTGCTCCTGGTCACCGCCAACGTCGGGTCCCTCTTCGACGACGTAAGTACCGCGGGCCCCGGGGCGGGCGGGGGCTCCGCGGGTCGCTGCGCCGCCCGCCCGCCGCGCTGCCGCCCGGACCGCGGGTGCCGGGGGCCCGGCCGAGTCCCGGCGCCTCCCGGGGCGGGCCGGCTCTGCCGGAGCGCGGGGCGGCGGCACGGCCGCGGCAGCGCCGGGGGAGGGGGCGCCGGTGCCGCGTCCCCGTCCCGAGGTTGTCGCCGTGCGACGCCGGCCGCAGCGTCCGGGGGCCCCTCGGGGGCGCGGCAGAGCCCCGAAGCGCCTTGCCCGCCTCCGGCCGCTCTTCCCCGGCTACCGGGCACGGTGTGACACGAAAATGCAGCGTAATTTCTGCTCGGTAGAGAGAGAGCAGAGCTCCGGAACCGTTCTTATCGCTGCACGTAGGGCGAGAGCCGCAGCTGCACGGGCCAGCAGGGGCAGGAACGCTCGGTTCCGTTCGGTTCGGTGCGCGAATGAGCGCAGATGCTGCTGACCGTCGCTGGGCTCCCGCGGCCCGGACGCTGCCCCCGGGAGCCGCTGAGCCTAGCAGCCAAGCCAGCCAGTGCCCGAGCAGTGCGGACACGTCCCGCAGCGCGGGGGTGGCCTTTCCAGGGGTTTGCTCCTTGGACAGTAATACACCTCTGGCAGAAAATTGGGTCCGGGCTTGCGCCGTGTGTCGTTCTTGCTGTGTGTTAGGAGGGGCTTTGCTCTAAGCCTGATGCACAGAGCCCCGAGGCGCAGTAACTCAGGGAGACTTTTGTCTGGTCTTCAAAGTTCGCTTTGCTTTTTGTCACTTTAAAGGCTTTTCTGACGTTCACACTTCCATTGTAACTGCTGTAGTCAAAGGATGCAGTTCGTCTTTTCTTCGAGTTAAGTAGAATTTTACTGTAATCACCCCAGTTAGTTTTACACTTAAGCATGCCACTTCGTGTTAAATGAACGCTGTGAAACTGCTCATTTGACAGTGATTGCCGTGGTTGTGGCCTTGGGCGCACCCAGCATCTGTGTTGAGCGCTGCCGGTGTGTTCAGTGGGGTTTCAGCAGGTGGTTCTGCCTTTTCCTCCCCATGGCTGCAGCCGAGGAGTGACAGCTCTGTGCTCGCCGTCCGTCCGAGCCCTGCGGCTCGCTGTGCTCCCGTGCCTTGGCAGGAGCTCGCACTCCATCCAGCATTCCCTGCAGGATCCCCGGCTGGCAGACCCGGCCATTTCCTGCCTGTTCCCGGTCGGTGTTCGGGTTCGGGGCGTTCCTGAGCTGCTCGCTGTGCAGAGGGAACGCGCTTCGGTCCTAGCCAGCGACTGCCTTGCCGTGAAAAACCAGAGTTTTCTGCAGCAATGAAACCGGGTTCGTTCGGGTCAGCTCTGCCGCAGGGTGGGAAACGGGAAGACTGCTCTGAACATCTGTGGTTGTGGTCCTGGCGTGTGGCTGTTGGAGTTGGGACTGGTGGCTGCCTGGCCAGGCTTCTGGAGTTACATTAGTGCAGTTTGGGTGCAGGAAAGGTAACATGAGCTGGGTTTGGTTTGTGTATGGGAGCTGTCAGTGGCTGCTTCTGCTTGCTGGGCCCTTCCCGTGCAGTCGAGGAACATGTTTCTTTGCCGTGACCTGGAATGGTTTCAGTCCTGAACAAGGACTTGCTTTCATGGACTGTGCCAGAGCTGGGCTGGAAAACTACTTCCCATTCCTTTAAGTCAGGTTTTTGTTTCTGATTTCAATGGGTGATATGTATTTTAATGAAACGCTGCACTCTCAGATGTAGCCTGACCTGCAGGGCAGTGCAGGGGCACTGGCAGATCCAGCACCTGCACTCACACAGTCCTGCTGGCCCTGCGCTGGGCTCCCGTCCCGTCCCGAGTGGCCAGAGCCCTCCGGGAGCGTTCTGCTGGGAGCGGGTGCCCGTGTGCCCAGAGCCCTCCGGGAGCGTTCTGCTGGGAGCGGGTGCCCGTGTGCGAGGCTGCTGGTGCAGGCTGGGCTGGGCAGGGGGCTCTGGTGCTGGGGGCCCTGCAGGGTGGGCCTCCTGCCCCCTCCCACCCAGCAAACCCTGTGCTGCCCCTGTGCTGCCCTGTCTCCCAGTGTTCCCCAACTGGTGCTGGGTGGCAGCAGCATGGTTTGGACTTCAGGTGTGATTTGTGTGAGCATTGTTTGCTTGTGTGTGCAAATGCTCTTGAGACCAGCATTTCAGAGTTTAAAATACCTTTGGCAGGCATGTTGGCCTCGGTGGGACAGTCCTTCCTAGATCAGTGGTGTTGCTGACCTGCCTGTACTTTTTCAAAGAGGGGAAAATTGCTTTTTTTACTCTCTGGTTGCCAGAAGCAGGTCAGGATAACATATGGGTTTGCTCGTGCCAGCCATCCCCATCCACTAATTACCTGCTGCAGTGGTGACCTGGAAACTCATGAATAGACATGGGAAAGTGAAGAGGGACTAAGCTGGGTTCATTTCATTCCTCTAGCAGTTTTGGTGCTTTATTAAAAATATTGATGGAGTATTAGGTTTTCAAATATTCTTCCAAGTTACATGAACATGTGCATTTCATGAATATGAACGTGTATGATTTTTGGTACCTTTGTGCTTACTTAAGCATTTAATGCTTTTCTTGCTGTAGAATAATTTCCTGGGTTTATCATAGTATGCAGAGTAGCAAAACATGGAGTTCAGGCTACCCATGAGTTGCTCTTTTCCCCCTCCTCAGATGCCCCTGCCTATGGCAGGGGAATTCAATTAGATGATCTTTAAAAGTCCCTTTCAACCCAAACCTGTGATCCCATCCTCTCCCTCCCTGATTCCTTGCTTCCTTTGATTCCTCTGTCTGCACTGACAGCATTTCATATGTACGTTGCAATGAGCTGAGTGCTGTGGTGGGCACAGGATCCATTTGCCTGGCACTGCGCTGCTTTGCTGTACGGGGGTTTAATTTATGTCCTGAGGTTTTTCCAGTCTGGTATATCCCCTTCATTCTGTTAACTGCCTCTAACAGCTGAGTGCTGCTGGTGTTTGCTGTGGCAGACACCTGGGAGAGGCTGGGAGCAGCAGGTGGGGGAGGTTCTGGAGAAAGCTTCCCTCCCATGTGGCAGCACAGGAGCTGTGGCAGCTTCTGCTGCAGGGGCAGCTGGGCACCTCTGCAGTCCTGCTGCTGTGGCTGCCCAGAAGTTGTGTTCCTGTGTGCTGTGTGTTTGTCTGGGTGCAGCCACGAACTCTGGAGAGCCACCTTGGTGCTCACCCTGAGAATCAGCTCCTGCTCTGCTCACTTTCAGGTGGCTTTGACCATCTGCGTTGGTTACGTGTCTCCATGTCGGTCCTTAGGGAGAATTTCCAAGATGCCCAGCAGACTTAGTTTACAGGTTCTGACATTTCTCCTCGGGTTGGAAAATAGTTAATTTGTTCCAGCTGTCCTTGAAATTGCAGTGTATGAGCCTAAATCAGGTCAGAGCTTCCAAAGCCCTTCCATCTTCATGCACTGGATGTATATGATTCTTAAATTCTCAGGACAGGTTTAGTCAGAATAGATGTGCAATGATGACAAGGTAGGTAAAAGTTAACCAGAACATGTTATTTTATTAGCTTAAAAGAGAAAAGGGGAGAAGTGTGCCAGGGAATTGCTGTATGGTGCTGATACCCAAAATTCTGAATGACTGACAGCATTACTGCCCTGCATGTGGCCCTATTTTCTTTGACTCTGTAGAGCACTGGCCTTCATGTGATAGTGCCATGGCAGGGCAGTAAGCTTTGACATTTCAAGGTGGCCTTCACCTATCCACATTTGGGTGAATGTGTCCCTTTTTCATACAGTACACAAAGTGGGCAGGGATGGAACTTCCTGCTTCAAGCCCTGTTTGTAGTATTATTATGAATAAATTTATTCTTTAATTCTGAGTATGAACTTGAAGTATTCTTTACTTCTGTTCAAATCTGGAGTCCATCAAGTGAATTTGAAGTAGAAATAGTTCCCATAATAATTTTTCGAAACAGCCTGGCCTTCGAATGGGTGGTGATCATACTGCAGTCTCTTTATCATGTCTGATCCTAATTTTCTGATTCTGAAGCAGTGGGTGTGGGTTTGTTTTGGTATTGGACATCTGTGTATTTAGCCGGTATTAGCTGATAACTATAAAAGGTTTTTTGGCTTTCATTTTGGTTTTTTCTTATTTCTTTCCCTCATGAATAATTATTTGAATTCCGTGGAACATTTCAAATGTGGTAGGACAGGAAATGTATTCGTTTGGTTTTGATTTCTACATAAGCATTAAGAGTAGCCTGTTGCAATTCGAGGCACCCTTTCTTCAAACCACAGCTGTGAGATTGAGTGAAAGGTAGTATCTGATTCATTATGACTTTTTAGAAGACACTTGTTATTGCCCTGCTGAGAAGCATTTGCCCATCCTCAGGGTCAGGTGGGGCAGCGTTGGTGTCACCTGGAGCAGGTCAGAGTGGCCCAGCCCGTGCAGGTCAGGGTGGTGTTTCTCTGGGATGTTCCAGTGTGGGAGCATTCCTGCAGGTGGGCTGGGCTGTCAGCTGCCAGGGAGGGACTGGGCAGCCTGGGCTCGTGTTCTGGTTCTGGCCAGGTGAGGGCAAGAGCAGCAGAACTGGGGAGAGGGGAGAGGCTGCTGGCCTGGCGCTGCCTCTGGGTCCGTGCTGCTCGCTGTGCTGCCAGGCTGGGGGAGCTGGGGCTGTGGCCAGGCTGGAGCCTGCAGGGCTGAGACTGCACTGAGCACTTTGGCTGCCTCACAAGGGCTCCAGACTTGGGGGTTATTGTCTTGCTCCGTTTGGTGCTGCAAGATTGGGTGCTCACAGCTTGGACTTGCATTGGAGGGCTATGTACTTTTTGAGCAATAACATAGAAGGCTGACAGAAAAGTATTTTTCAGTGTTCTCCGTGATGGGAACTGTAGAAATAAGTGATCTCTGACTCTGCATTCTGTGCCTTCTAGTTTCTGGTTGTTTTGGTATCTGCTTTCTGGCTTTTTGTTGTTGTAGGAGTGGCCCTGTTAATTTCTTAAATATTGTTGCTGCCTTCTGTTTGTTTGGTTTTCTATTGCAAACTCTCAAATGTTTTTCTTTCAGTTTCTGCCATACTCATGTTTATGTTATATTTTAGAAGGCTATCTTGTTTTACTCCATTCTAAACTCCCTGTGCAGGAGGTGGAACTTTGAGGTAGACCTGGCTGTGGAATAGCCCTGGCTTTGTGTGCCCTTTAGATGCTGTGGAAAGGGATTTTGGTTTGAAAATCCTTCCCTGCTGCTTGTGTTCTGCACTGGGGATGAGCTGAGAGCTGTGTGTGTGCTGTATGGTGGAGCTGCAGCAGCAGCAGAGCCTGAGCTGGTGTCTTGGCAGCAGGAGAGTGCTGGTACCCAAAACAGCTGGGGTGGTACCTGTTGGAAACCCCTCCTTTGCTGGTCTTTGGGGGCGATTTGCTCACAGCTGTGCAGCTGCACAAGTCAGGGTCAGTCCCTCGCAGCCTGCTGGGAGAGCAGCTGAGTGCTTGTCCTGATTTCCAGCCCCCTTCCAGCCGGCTCTTGGCATCCCGAGGGCAGGCTAAGGATGCCTGTCAGTGGGTGCTGGGGTCACTGGTAACTCTCAGAGCATCCCCAGCTCCATGCCGAGCTCCAGGGTGCGTGTCCTGCTCACCAGCAGCCCCTGGGGTGTACTGAGTGACAGCTGAGTATCAGCTGCAGAGCAAAGTCCTCTTTGAAGTATAAATGAGGAGCAAGACCTGAAGCAGATGCACAAGAAAGCAGCAACACGTTATTGTGCATCCATGTACTTGTAAAATTTAAAGCTCTGATTTGCTGAAGATAACTGCAGCAGTAACAGTACAGGCAGCACAGAGGGTGGAGGTTTCCTCCAAGGTGGAGGTTTCCTCCAAGGTGGAGGTTTCCTCCAAGGTGGAGGTTTCCTCCAAGGTGGAGTTTTTCTTTAGCAAAAATCCAGCACTTTTTTCTTTTTAGCAAATAGTTTTACAATTCTCGCAAAAGAGCTTCTGTTAAGAGCTGGTACAGTGTCTAGCCTTCCCTAAGAAAGATGCTCAGGGGTTTATCTTCTAGATTATCTTTTTTTTTCTCCCTTTTGATTAAGTGTTATCACTGACAACAAGAGCACATGGAACACAAGGAGGTAGTAGTGGCAAAGTGCATTATAATTACACCTTCCTTTTAATGTGGCTTTAAAGCAGTAGAGTTGGTGTTTTGCAGCTTGTCAGGCTTCCACAAATCATCAGTGTATCAGTGTGAGGTTTTAAAAGGACTTAGTTCCTGTTTTATTTCTTATTTGAAAATGAAATTATGCAATGTGGGTAGGATACCGTAGGAAGAAAGCTTTACACACAGGTCTGATAGTTTTTTGGCTTGGTCAAGCACTAGGGCATATTTTAAAGGTTTTGCTCCTGTTCCAAGGTTCTCATCATCAATTTTCCTACCACAAAATTTGATTTCAAAGATACAGAATACGAGTCAAACCCTCAGATTTTATGATTTGCATAAAAAGCTGATCTGGTTTTTACTTACTATTACTCTCTTTCCCCTTTTCTATTATTTATTTAGTCATACCGTTTGTATATTCTACCCCTGTGAATGTGTTTTCTCTTTTTGCCTCAGACACTTTTTTTCCCTTTCTGGTGCCATGTGTACTCCCCTCCTTCTGGAAGCTCTTGCCTTACTCCTCATTTCTGATTTCAAGGGAGTCCTTTGAAGGAGTCTTTTTGGTTTGTAGTTTTGTGGGTGCCTTGTACGCCATCAGGAAGGGGAGTGTGGCTGCCCTGTGAGTGAGCACACACTTTTCTCTGCTGAAGAGGAGATCCCACCGGGTTAAACCCACTTTCCTCTCCACTATGGGCATGCCATGCCTTGTTGTCTGAGTGGGAAGAGGAAATCCAGTGACTGAACTGCCTTGGAAGGCAAACTGGATTTAAGTGTGGCTCTGGAAGGTGTCTCTTCCACCACCCTGCAGAAGATCAGCCACTCTGGCTGTAGCTTTGCCTTGTCCTCTGCCCCTAAACTCTTACCTTAAATTGGAGGGAAAAAAAGGAAAAAGGCAGCCAGTGTGACAGCAAGCCAGTTGTTGCTTTTAGGATGTGGAAGCTCCCAAAATACATCTGTGTTAGTGTAGGTTAATACTTCATTTGACATTCTCTAACCATCTTTCATTCTCTTTGTGAAGAATAGGAGGTGGTCTTGGGAAAACAGAACCTTCTGACTTCAGTGGCTGCTTGAATGACCTATCAGAGTCCTTTAGCATCCTTTTGGCATCCGTATTACTGAAGTGGCATCTCTTCTTGCTGAAATTCCCATGGAAATAGGTTGTTTTTCATAATGTGGAGTAGTCATATTAAGCACAGTAATCATCATTCTGGGGAAGAGTGAGTATTAAAAGTAAAATGTTACTTTGGTTTCTTGTCTTCCAATGGTGTGTAGTAGTTATTCAACACTCTTAGCACTACTCTCAGTATTAGTACATCACTGTAAAATGTAAATATTTTATTTAATCACTTTAATTTCTAATGCTTTTCCTATTATTGGCAAAACTTGAAGTTAAAGCAGGTATTGAAGCAAACAAAAGTGTTCATTGTTCTTATATGATATTTGAAGTCAGATATAATTGATGGTTTTCATTTATGTCTTCAAGTTGTTAAGCACTCATCTTCGTGAGTCAGTCAGCTGTAACAAATGATATCCTTGAAAGCAGAACATTAAAGCTAAGGAAAGCAGTTAACCTGTGGTGTTGTCACAGGTTTTGTTCTCTGGTGGTACCGTAGGGTCAGTTCCAGCAGCTCCTGGGGGTGTGACTGTCACTGACACCTGGGTGTTTATTACCCTGCAGCGCAGCTCAGACCTCTGGGCTGTGGTTTATGGGACCCATGGCTCTGGGATGTGGTTACAAGTGCCAGGCTGCAACATGGAGAGCTTTCCTTTCGTTTGTGGCTGTGACTGGAAGGATTTTCGCTTCAGCTTTTGATTTGTCTGCAGTAAAACAGCTGCTGATCTTTCCTTGTACTGTTTCCCAGTTGATTAAAAGCTCTCCCACCTGTATTCCTTGCCTGCTGTTCCTGCCTCTTTTGTCTCATCTTTTCCCTGGTTTCACCTTGGCTTGCTTTCTAATACTGTTCACAGCGAGAAGCTCTAGTCAGGAGAGGCTTTAATGTCACACAGAGTTGTAGCAGAGGCAGAAAGGAGATGATGGGTGCCATGGGGTGTGTGGGGCTGCCTGCCCTGGGCAGAGGCTGGCCAGGGGCTCTGCTCAGCCAGAGCTTTTGGATAACGTGTGGGTAAAGGAGAAGAAATCCTCACCTCTCACACACAAGCTTTTTTCAAAGACAAACACATGTTTTGGCTTTTGCCCACTTCCTGCATCTATGCTGCAGGCTGCAGTCAGCCGGCCAGCCCCGGGCCAGGCTCTGCACCAATGTGCCCCCCACGCTCTGTGCCCCCCACGCTCTGTGCCCCCCACGCTCTGGGCTCTGCTCTGGGCTCCACTCTCAGCCCCCCATGCCCTGGCCTTGCCTGCTCCTTGCAGGTCCCTGACAGCTCCAGCAGCACTGGATGTGTGGCATTTGCTTATATCCTGCTGTGCTCGGTCTTTGAAAGCCAGAAGGAAAAGGTGTTGTTTGGGCTGATTTGCATCTGGAAGCCATGCACTGTTCCTCTTAGACGTGCCCAGGGACAGTGTACCGAATGGCACTGGAATGAGGCGGTTTGGAGGTTTTCCCTTGCAACACAAACCGTCATGTTAAATTAGGCTCAAATTTGGAACCCGTAGTGTTGGACTGCAGCTCACAGTGTGGGAGACCAGCAGCCACCACAGTTCAGACAGTGACTGTGTGCCTGTGTTGTGCAGCAAGTGCCCTGGACTGTCCCACCCTCAAAACAGCCTGGAGAAAAAATAACTGCCTTCAGGGCAAAAGGAGTGTTCCAGGAGGAGTGCTGGTTCCTGGTGGGAATGCTGGGCTAGGCTCTGGAAATCAGGGCTCGGTTTGCATTCAGCATCAGTATCCTGTGTGACCCAGAGCAAGTGGCAGCAGGTCCCCTGCCAGCTGTCCCTCTGACAGAGGCATTCCCATGCTTGGGACAGGCTGCGGGCCCTGCCCTAAATGGGAGGGTTTTGGAAAGATGCTCTGGAGGTTCTGATGTTGAAGCTGGAGCAGTGGAGGGCTGTGATGGCACTCTGCAGCCAGAGCTGTGTGCAAACGGGAGCTGTCAGGGGAGCTGGACTGTGTGGGCCATGAAAGACAGCCAGGGTATGGCTTGTTCCTCCAGCTTCAGCTCAGGAAAGGCAGAGGAGCACCTCATGTGGGTGCAGCGCTGCCTGTACAGGCATGCTCCACCCTGGGCTGCTGGAGAAGCTCCTGGCCAAACAAAGGCTCAGATAATCTGAGCTGTGTGAGCTTTCTGCTTAACCAGGGCTCTTGGCTTGCACAAGCTCAAAGCAGATCCAGCTCTCGTTGGTTATGGGAGTAAGTACAAGCAGGGAAAGCTGCTCCGTGTGAGTCTGCGCTTTGGTGAGGCTGGCAGACAGTGTTTACAGGATGTGGAGAACGTCACCTTCTCTAGAACGTTCACCCGTGGTGCGAGGCCTCGCTCGGGCGCAGGAGTGGCCGATCACAGGCTCTGGGTACCATGGGAACACGCAGGATCCAAAACCTGTTTGTTGTGCTCCGCCTGAGGTAGAGCTGCCTCTACATGTTCACTCCTCACTTCCCATTTCCCACTGCATTCTTGAAAAGAATTTTTTATTGTCTTGGAATGCTTGAATGTGTTGGCAGGGCACTGCATATTAATGGCTGGGCTCCTTGGAGCACCTCTGTACCAGGCTGGTGGCACTGCAGTGGGTGAACAGTAGAGGCACACGGGCATTGGGAGCAGGACCTAATTCTGAATTCTTTCATTGAAGCTTTTAAAGTGATGTGGTGGGAGCTTGTTTTGAAGCTTTTTGTTTTCCTGGTGTGGCAAACTCTCTAAGTTTAGAGGCTTTGCCAATCCTTTTGGAAAAACAAAACTAGTTTTCCTGTAGGAACAGCTCAGAACTGTATGGTAAACTCTGTGTGTCAAGTGAATACGAAAAGAAATGGTACAAAAATCACTTAAAGCTGTGCTCATCAAGCACCATCAGCCAGCATTGGCTCTGTTTTAATTACTTCAGAATTTTTATTTAATTTGTGCTTTTCTCAGACTCTGGGCACAGAAGACCTTTCTGTGCACTTTTGGGCAGACAGCTGTCATTGGGTCCAGCACTGCAGCAGATTTGCACAGAGAAGGTTCCCTTTGACAAAATTATAGGCTCTTTGTGTCCCTGACCTGACCATTCAAAATGTTTTTAAAAACCATCTATTCAAAGTGAAAGTTTTGATCTACAATTCCTATTGTGCTTTTTGTTGGAGGAAGAAATTGAAAAAATGTTTGGGTATTTTTAATATTTATTTTTAACTTCAAATGCTGCCAGGCACATGAAGAAGTCAAGAACTGGGTGGGACAATATGATAGGTCCAGCCCACACACTTCAGAGAACTGGATGTGACTCAAAAATCTTCTGCTAAAACAAGTTTATTTTCATGAACTGGCAGTGTTGTTTTTGTGGGCTGGGATCACAGGCTTGATCCTGGCTTCACTGTTCACCAGGCTCTGAAGCCAGTTCTCATTTGTCTTGTGGGACAGCCTTTTAGCAAAAAGGAAGAAACCCTTTTCAGCTGTCCTTATTAAATATTAAAGTATTTATTTATGACCATTGTGCACCTTTTACTTATCTCAGAAAAGAAAGATCTGTAGTTCCTTTCCCACTCTTTTGTAAATTATATGAATGTAGTCTGGATCTGCTTGTCCTTGTAGGCTGTTACTATCATTGTAGTGTCACTGAGGTGTGAGAACAGAAAGTTGTCTCACAGGATGGATGAAGACAGAACTCTATCAGCCAGGTGAAGGGAGATCTTTGATAAGCAGGTGAATTTCAGTGCAAGACTTGCTTGTGGTTCTTAAAAGTAATGAACTTCTGTGAACATTCAGTGTTGTGTAATGAAAGTGCATATTAAACAGATGAGGTAGAAACTGCTCCATCTGGAACAGTGCAAGAAAGTCCATAAGGAAATGGCAGAGAGCTGTGGTACCTCCATCGCTGGAGGTACTTGGGAGCCATCTGGACAAGGCCCTGAGTCCCTGATTCTTGGGAGACTTGGCTGGAGCAGGGAGCGGACCTCCAAAACTCCACCGCATTCTGTGACTCTGTAGCCAGACATTAGAAAGTTTTCCCTTGGTTTTAACTTTGTTGCTGATGCCATTGTCTATTGCTTTCCAGCACTTGCTAGGGGTGTCAGTATCTTGTGGCAAATCCTCATGCCCTTTTTATCTGCATTTCTGTTACGGATGTAGACCATTTCCAGATGCTTTGCGGTGTGACTGGTCTGGGAACTGGAACATGTGCATGCTTTTCTAAAAACTGGAGGAAAACCATGCATGTTGTCTGTCAGCTTATAAAGTCTCAGAATATTGGGAAAGCTTCCTCATGCTCTCCTGGTGTGTGTAAATTGGAGTCTCCAAGTCAGGCTTGCAGCTCTGATGGGTTTTGTTTGTTTGCTTTTCTGTTGACATTTCAGTGGCAAATAAATACGCTGTTCCCAGTTACTTCAGAAGTGGGAAAGAGGCGGAAGAACGTTCCAAGTGCCTGGGACCGTAAGGGCAGTAGATCCACGGGGTTTACTGGCAGCTAATGTGGTTATTTACCCCAAAATGAAGCTGCAGCAGAAGCACGTGCTGGGAAGTGATTCAAAAGCAGGGAAACTGCTATGGTTGCGTTGCTTTTCTATCTATTCCTGTGCTTGCGGCATTGCTGTTTTTTGCCTGAAGTATGATTGGTCCAAATTGTGCTGAGAACCGGGAAAAGACGTCAGAGGACAGAAAGTAAAAAGAAAGCATTCCTCATGATTTACGTTTTTGTTCAATGCCCATGTCATGTACAGCTCTGCCGTTTACTTTGGAGCGATTCACCTGGCACAGCCCGAGCCCCTGCCGGCCCTGTGAGGCTGCCGGGGGCCGGGCTCGCCCGTGCCCCGTGCGGGCACTGCCGCCTCCCCCGGCAGCCGGGCTCGTTCGGAGCCTGCCCCGTGCGGGCACTGCAGACCTGCTCTCGGAGCTGCCCCGTGCCGGCACTGCAGACCTGCTCTCGGAGCTGCCCCGTGCCGGCACTGCAGACCTGCTCTCGGAGCTGCCTCCCGCCGGCCCAGCGCTCTGCCCGAGCCGCCGCTGGGGCCCGGGGCCGTGTCCCGGGCTCTCATCCTCCGCGGTGCCGTGCCCCGGGCTGTGCCCTCCCCGGGTCCGTGTCCCGGCTCTCCCCTCCCCGGGTCCGTGTCCCGGCTCTCCCCTCCCCTCCGCGGGGCCGTGCCCCGGGCTCTCCCCTCCCCGGGCTCCGGGGCCGTGTCCCGGCTCTCCCCTCCCCTCCCCGGGCTCCGGGGCCGTGTCCCGGCTCTCCCCTCCCCTCCCCGGGCTGTGCACGGGCGCTCCGCCGGCCCGGGAGGCGCAGCCGGGGCTCGCGGGTGGTTCCCAGCACCGAGCGGCCCCGGCCGAGCAGGGACAGCACACGGAGACAGGGCGGGTGTCACGGTGCTGGGGGCTCCAGGCCGCGGCTGTCGGCGGTGCTCTCCAACAGCAAAAAGCAGCTTTGCAGCTGTGAGTTCTTCACTGGAGGAGTCGCTGTCTCACCTGCTGCTCGAGGTGGTGGGCTTGGGTTTATCCTTAAAGTCTGTGCAGGGTCGTGTCCTAGAAATGGAGAGACCTGTTTGTGCCATGCACCATAAATGCACTGCTCTGTTTTGAGTGGTTTGTGACTTTTCCGTTCACCTCTGCAGTGGGATCCAGAAATGGGAACGAGGACTGGAGCAGAAGAGGATGGACAGGGCTCTTACCCAGAATCACAGGCATCTCCCTGGGATGTTACAGAAATATTGAAACATTAATGTATATCCTGCATAAGAGACAGTTGTTTAAAAAAACGCTAAACAAATAAAACCCAACCAAGAAAAAATGAAGCAAATCCCCAAATCCTCAGGCAGTTAAAAGTGAATGTTATGTAGCCTCATACTTGGCAGGAAGGTTGTTACTGTTTTGTCTTCCAAATTCGAGAATAAGCCAATGGTGAATCTCAGCTTTAGTGAAAAGTTGGCTTTGCTGAGGAATCTAGAAATGCTTGGGTCATGTTACTGTGTTCTTTAGAGCTCCTCAGAGCTTTCATTGAGAATTAGAGAATATGTTAGACAGCACTTTAACCATGGTTGCATGAAATGTGCACATGCTGTCACTTTCCTGCATCTCACTGTCCTAGAGGGAGACACTTGCAGCTGCTCAGCATTTCCAGAAGGTTCAATAGTATTTTAATTAATTGAAAAATGTGAGGTGTTTGCCTGAGATCTTGGCAGAACTGAAATTCTTACTTTGATTTCACAGCACTTCTTCCAAAACCTGTTCATTAAATCCATTAACCTAAAAGCTTTAAGAAAATGGAAGTTCTCATTAAATGGCCATATGAAATAGTTGGGAAACTTACAAAGTTGTTTGTTAAAGTAGAAATTTCCAGTGTTTCTGAAATGTAACATTCACAAAAACAGCTTATTAGACTATTCCATGTGTTCTGTTCCATTTTTTCATGCTTTTCCATGCTTAAAGTAGGTATTTTTCCTTTAAGTACATGTTTTAAGGTAAAGAATAGGAGGTGTATGGTGTCCGTGCTTGTAGAGCTCGAGAGGTGCTCACAGCCTTCCTAGGCTGTTTGCCTGATGTTCAGGGAGTGTATCCCTTTCTGTTGTGTGCCCAACCTGAGGTACATCACTCTAAGTATAATCCTATGTCCTATAACATATCCGTGGGGTTGTGCAAGTGTTTCTTGTGTAGAGCATAAGCAAATCATAATGTGAAAATACAGTAGGTGGATTTGCCAAAACCCCATCTGGAATTGGGGGATTTATTTCATTTGACTTTTCTGCATGTCTCTAAGCACTAGCTGTGACTTGCCATGGGAGACAGATGGGTGCTTTTTCCAAATAATTTAAGTAACCATGAATTCAAATTACATTCTTCAATGCATTTTGGAAATAGATGTTAGAGCTCTTAGAAGAGAGAGTACAAGCTGCATTCTTCCCAAAGCACTCAGTTCTGTGTGTGAGGGCAGATGCAGGTTTGAGTATTGTGTTTGCAGTTCTATATCTCGGGGCAGATGCAGTATTTGGAAAGAGACTGACTTCTGACAATGAACTTGAAGGAAATGTGATGAGAACAGGTTGCAATAAATACTGCCCCAGTGAACTGTGCTTGAAATGAGTTATTAGAGAGGTGGTAAATCTCTTTGGTCCTTTTAGTCCTCTCCTAGGTTTTGAAGGGTAACCCAGGCTCCATGGTAGTGAGTTTTCTTGGAGCAGTGTTCTCCCTTCTGTCTGTCTTGTACCTTTCTCCTCCTTGTATCATTACCTGTGCCTCAAAGATGGATCAAAATTGAACTTCTCGTGTCTAAAGCCATGTTGCATTAATACTTCTGTATATATATACAGAAATCTTGTATACAGCAAGATGTACTGGCTGTTTAGGGATCTCAAACAGGAGCAACAGGTGAACTGAGCTCAGGTGGCATTTATGATTAATTGATGCTATGGTGCCTGGAGAGCCCTAAGTACAATTGGCAGTATAAATACATTGTAAATGATGGCGTGTACTGAGAAGACAAGGTCTCAATATGGGAAAAGAATCTGTTTTTAAAACCTCCCTAAAATTCAGTGTCTGATACAGAACCTGGAGAATAGCAAATATCTTACCTTGTGGAAAAAATACAAAGCAAATGCCAAAGGATGCGCATTAACAGAGATAATTTGAATGCCTGGGGCACCTGACAAGTGGTGGCTGCTGTGTGAGCAGAGCTGGAGGTGCCTGTTGCTGGGAGTGTGGGTTGGATTTAGACAGCCTGCTTACAGCTTTGCTGCTCCTTCTCATCAGATGCTGCGTTTTGCTTAAATATTGTAAGTAGGAATAGAGGTGAGATTACTTCAGGGAATGCTGCAGCATCAGCAAAGTGGCCGAGCTCTGCACGTTATTTGTTTGGCACATGAATTGAGGAGTTATTGAATTAGTTCCCCTGTTGGTTCCCGTGCTGTTGGGTAGCTCAGTGCCACAGAGGCTGCTCGGTGCTGGGCACGCTCTGCAGAGGAGATCAGCACACAGCTGGGTTTGCTGTGGAAGTGAAGGATGGCAAGATCCAGGTCTGCAAAAGCCTGTTCCTCATGGGACTCTGGAAATGGCTGTGATGGGGGTTTTGGCCCACCAGCTGTGCTGAAAATCGAGGGGCACAGTTCTCTGCAGTACCCACTCTCCAGACTGCCTGACATTTGCTCCTCTGATAAACTGCAGAGCACAAACCAAGGCAGGGAGCAAAACTGGCCCGCTTTCATTGAGCAGTGCTTCAGACTGTCGCTGGAATTTATCGCTGCAGCTTGTTTACTTCTTTGAGTGTTCTTGAAAACACAGCAGCGTCAGATTTGGCCTTAAAATAAGGAGGCAATGTGCAATTTCTATTCTACGTAATTTTGTTTAATTGAATATTTTTTGAAATGTCTGCCATCCTTGCTTGGCAAGGCCCCCTGAAATCTCTAGCCACAAGAAGCTCTGCTCACCATCCATGAACTGGATTTTCTTTTAGCTTTCTTTCTAAAGTTGTGTTCTTTTTTTAAACTTGGATGATTAGGATGATGCTGTTACTT